TTCGCAAACTATGATGTTTGTGAATTTGGCAGATACATGAAAATCCTCTTCAAATAAGAAAAAAACGTGTGATAGCAATATTTACAATATTCCTAATTTAAGCGACAGTGTTATGGCCACAGTATCACACCACCGCCCATATGACAGCACACGAAGAGAAACAGAGCGAACGCGTACTTAGTTCTCCTGTTGGCGCACCGTAAAATCCCTGTATGTTAGTGACGTCAAAATGACACACTGCCAGTCTGCATTCTCGGCGAGAATCACGAATTGGCTGTACTGACAAGAGAGATTCACTTATTGTGAAGGTTGAAGCTTAGAAAGTACTTTATTTTTTTTCAATTGACAGATAAGTTTAAAGCACTCAAAGTTAGTATGCGCTCAGCACCGCAGCGCACCGCCGCACTGCAACTCAGGTAACCGTCCACAAATTGCAACATGCGAAAACGTGGTTTACTTTCTTGACTGATCATACATCCTTTAATGTTTTTTTAATGATATTGGAAAACGTTTATAAATCGGTGTGGTTGCTGAACTGTGAAACCGCTGCCCCTCACACCAGGGGCGCCCCAGAAACCACAACAAACTAAGATCTACACTTGAATGGAACAATATCAGAGCCCGGATTTAGTCGATTCTTTTTATTTATGTTGCCAATAATTAGGTAAAAAATTGTCTCTCTGTTTAAAAATACCTAAATCCTAGTTTGTTGTGGTTTCTGGGGCGCCCCTGGTGTGAGGGGCAGCGGTTTCACAGTTCAGCTTGCTATATTTAACAACACCCGATTTACCCAAAACGTTTTCCATATCAATATCATTTTAAAAAACATTAAAGTATGTATGATCAGTCAAGAAAGTAAAATCAATTTAGTTTTCGCATGTTGCAATTTGGGTGGGCGGTTACCTGAGTTTCAACAGCGGTGCGGCGGCTGCGCATCTGAAGGCGGTGCTTTTGATCTGCGCATACCGACGTCACGGAGCGCAACTCAATACTAACTTTGAGTGCTTTTTTAAACTTATCTGTGATATCAGTGGCATTGATAAAAATGGTAAAAAATAAAGTACTTTCTAAGCTTCATTTTAAGCCTAAGCACGAACCTGAAGTCCAACCACAACTGGGTCCTCGTGCTTGTGAGGTACTGAGATACCTAATGGCGTAAACCGCAGCGTAACTTGCACGCTCCCTCTAGCCTACACAGTACACTCACTCGCACCCTGTAACTCGTGTGCTCTCCGCCCCTCGTTGCAATGATACGCCTGCGCAGGTACGTAGCGGCGTAAGATGACGTCATCATACAGCCCGCCTGGCGCAGTTGGGTTCTGGCGCCGCTTTCGATTTTTGCACGCGTACAAGACTCACATTTATATACTATGGTTATATTTTATCGTAGCGCTCGTACCTTGCGTTCTATTCATTATGATCGTGTGGCGCTGCCTAATACTACTTTAGACACCGACATGGAATGTTACGTACAACCAACAAAGCAAAGGGAAAGTAAAGAATGCACGATTGCAGATACAGAGTAGGAAACCGAACCGCGAACCTAAGCGGCTCTCAGTTAAAGCTGCATTAAAGCTTTAAGTGACCACTCCGTAACTTTTGCTCTACCCTACCTTTTGCTGTTCCTACCTTTTGCACTAGCTTTAATTCGGTTAACCACCTTTGATACTACTACCTACTCGCACAAATATACCTGTGCCCCTGGGACAGTTTCCCTGCATAAAATACACCCTCTTCGGCCATTCCCATACAAAAAATACAAAATCAATGGAACCGTGCCTGTATTTTCTTCAGAGGTTTCACTGTACTGCATAATACAAGTTACCCCAAGTCAAAATGTCGTGCTCGTACTTGCGAAGTACACAGAAAAGTTCCACACCGGTTTGAATATGGTGTTACTTTTCCATATTACCTAATCGTACTTCATTGGATCCTAAGGTTACAACGGTCGGCCTACTTTACCTTTACCGCCCCTTTGCCTTTACCTTTTCACTTCACCTTTTCAAGTTTACCTTTACCTTTGCCGCCGTGAATACCTTTACCGTCCCAATTTACCGTTGAAAAACGCCGTTCAGATAACCTTTACCGTTAAATAACCGTTGAAATATAAAATACCGTCGACACTTTGCCGTTTCTACAATTTCTTGCGTACGTATCTTGGAATTATTGCGTGACTATTAACATAACTGTGTGTGACTTTTTCGAACCCCTCTGGCTATTTTCACCACCTATAGACCCTTCCAAGTTCCAAGGATAAATTTCAGCTCTATTTTCTGACTACAGCCATTTGCCACTGCCTTTGAACAACTATCTTGGCTATTCGCAACCGGATGTTTTTGCCCATTTTGTTAGTTTCTGATCCTTCGTCGTCATTTTTATAATCGGTCTGCCATATCGTAGTTCAGCTGACGGTAACGAGAAATAGTAACGGTAATAAGTCTGTTACGGTATTGTTTCCGCATTTGTTGCTCAACATTCACTGCAATCTCCGCTCAAAACAGCTTTTCATTCACCTGTGGGACGATGGCATCGCGATATTTCGCCGCGGACAGCTAGTCGCAGGACTTTTGGTCGCAGACATTTGACCGCAAGGCCATCTCGCCGCTCGATGTTTCGTCGCAGGACATTTCGTCGATAGGACTTTACGCCGTGCGACTTTCCGTCGCATGGCCGCTTCGACGCAAGGAAATTTCGCCGCAAGGATATCTCGACGAAGCGACATTGCACCTATCAGATAATGATTTACTAAGCCAAATAACAGAGTCAGAAAAGGAAAAACTAAAAATAAAACCAAACGAACAACCTAAGAAATCCTAAGAAACCTAAGAAACCTAAGAAGCCTAAGAAAATTTGAGAAAGAATAAGACCCAAGACAGTCTGAAAAAGACTAAGAAAACCTAAGACCAAGCCTAAAAAAATTGAAAATGTAGTAAGAATTAAGCGCGGTGAATTATTTTGCGGCGATTAGTCGCATCTTTCAAAAAGTCCCAAGACAAATTGTCCGCGACCAGGCGTCTTGCGTCGAAATGTCGCAAAAGTAAAATGCCTCAAAGCATAATGTCCCAAACCGCAATGTCCCAGCGCTCGAATGTCCGGCGGCGAAATGTCTTCGCGGCGAAAAGTCGCGCGTCGAGTTCGAGTGCGGCGAAATGTCACACCCCCAATTGTCCGGGTGCGGGGACGGCACGTACCAAAGAAAAAAAGTGAATCGTTTTTTGTCTTCTTGAAAACACAGTAGACATCTGTATACAGGCTGTAGACACCTTGTAGACCTATCGGTAGTCACCTGGTTTCTCGGGATGTGTACAACGTGTCCACAACGGTCTCTACAGGTTGTCTACAGATATCGACCGCTGTATTCGGGCAGCCCTTCTTAGGTTCACCTCGATACTCTGCCTGTATACACCGGTAGTCATCTGTAGACAGCCCGTAGACACCCCTGTAGATATGTATATCTGTACTGTAGTCACCTGGTTTCTTAGGTTTTCTTTGGATGTATACAGGTTGTCTACAGGGTGTCTACACGTTGTCTACAGATGACTACAGTAGCTACAAGAAGGAAAAAAGCGTTCCAGTTTTTTTTTTCTTTGGTGCGAAACGTTCCATATATAAAACAATCTCACTGAATTCAGTATAATATGTAGTACAAAAGCAAGCAAGTAATTGAAGAAACGGCAAAATGTCGACGGTATTATATATTTCAACGGTTAATTAACGGTAAAGGTTTTTCGAACGGCGTGTTTCAACGGTAAATTGGGACGGTAAAGGTGTTCACGGCGGCAAAGGCAAAGGTGAAGGCAAATTGAAAAAGGTAAAGTGAAAAGGCAAAAGCAAAGGGGCGGCAAAGGTAAAGTAAGCCGACCCGGTTACAACCAGTTCCAAGTTCGAACCGGAAGTTGCTAATATTGCCAGATTTGTATTTTGTAAACGATTACTAGTCAGCCTACTCAAGTGTGAAGATGAGAATATAAGAAAGAAAAGAAGAAGAGAATGTAGTAGAGAATATACAGAAAAGAATATATATTCTGAGAATCTTCTTGGTAAAAGACGGAACATCCAGCAAATGTGACCATAACGATCAAAAGGTTGACTTTTGGCGCTGGCTCTGAAAAGGTGCGAATTGTGATTTTTCAGTTACTGTACAGAGTAGATACGGAACTTAAAGCTAAAAATTGTGGGGGTTGATTAGGTTAGGTTTAGGTTTCGGTTTCAGGTTTCAGTGCTTAATGTCTACAGATACAAGGAATCGCTCCTCATCGAGATCTATAGACAAGTCAAACAATTAGGACAAAACTACAGTGCAACAAAACCGACAAAATAACTTATGATTACATCGGTTTTAACAAAGGTCAAGCGTACTGGACGGTAGCTTTAACAGAGGCGATCTCCTTCCATGAAACGCTTTCCAGCATTGCCTGGCGTACATGTAGGGAGCGAAAGGATGACGAGTCCAAATCGAGGTCATTCCAGATTTTGACAGTCCTGCATGAGAACGAGTCTTCACTGGCTGGCACTTCGGTCCCGCAAAAAGTGGTACTAGCAGCTTGAATTGGGAATGGATGGCGCGACATCCGGTTTGCATTCCGCGTGTTACCTGCAACAGTCTTGGCGGCAGTTACTGACTCATAACTAGTGAAGAAGGAGTTGCCGACAGGCGAAAAAGCCGAAAGGCATCATTTAATCAAGTTCTTGTTGTTGTGGTTTGTTCGAACGTGAAAAGCGAAAAAAACGGAAAGGTAGTGAAAGGAGTAAATGGTACGTAAGGTCTTCGCGCAAAAGGTAGCGATAGATCTTGTACTTCATACACAATGTTAGAGTAAAGTGCTGCTGATTAGCATGCAACTTGCAGGGGTCATGCAGTGTTAACACAAAGGCACTCGAGCGCTCGACAGAAAAACAGGATCCTTTTGGACCTTCGGGGAGAGCAATTCTGATAATAAATACACTAATGCAAAATTGTCGCATGCTAAGGTAATTAAGTACTTTGACACTAATGGGAAAGAACAGACCAACCATATTGTAGGAATGCAGTAATATTTCATTCAACCAAATTTGCGAAGTACATATCAACTTCACTTAGTGTAACCCCGTAATAAATTTGCTAATCAGTTTAAATTATCATTCTCAGCAAAGAACTAAAGCACAGAACACCAAGAAGCGGCAGTATTTTGTTATCGGAATTTATGTCTTCGTTGGGAATGAACTTTGGGCAACTGGAGTCACTATGTCGTGCTTTTGTAAGAAGAGGGTTGCTATTGCTGCTACGTGACCGTTGATCATTTTTCACTCATCTCCATATCTTCAGTTCCCCGTTCACGGCCTTCTTTGGGGAGCACTTGGCGAAAGCAGACATCGCGTACTGGACGAACCACTAGTGTGATGAAACGCCGCCGATATTGACGTTCGCTTAGCAAGTACACGTAAAAATTTAACGAATAACCCATGTACATTGTAGCAGAGACTATTGGTGCCATAAGATCATTCAAGCTCCGATCGTATAGGTATGTATAGACAAGGTCATACGGTAGCAGTTTGGCAAACGAGTCGAAAAACTTCAGGGAGCGAGTGATGAAGTAAAGCAGCGCACTGCTTAGCAGGATGATGTTGATTCCGCGTTGGGATGAGGATTTACTGGCAGAAGTTGCCACCGATGTCTCACTGTTAGCCTCTTGTAAGCGACGCATGGTACTGAATTCAGATCGTCGTTGACGAGTAATTAGGGCAATCAAAATTATACTCGGAACAAGGATCAATGGTAATGGCAGCAGGCGCAAAACAAACTGGATGTTCTGAAAGATACGGTGTATTAGTGCACCTTTCATGGCTACGTAGTGTTTATTTAACGGCATTTAGTTGCTTTATACACACAGTTAGAAGTACTCACTATCCCCATTTCGTGAATGCGAGTTTTTGTACGTATCCACGCCGGAAAGATGCCGCTTTGATAAGCGCCCAAGTAGTCAAACGTATAATCATAATAATGGGTTATAAATTCGAATGCGTAGCAGGCCAACGACAGAATGGTAAGAAGGACAATAACAACACGCGCCGTGAGAACACTCTGCAGAAATCCAAATCGAAAAGTGCTGAGGAACACAAGAAGCCGTTCCCAGGTGAATACTACTAGGATCCTACAAGTATAACTGTTTATATGGCTGCACTGAACACACTCTGATTCCGTAATTAATACCAATCGGATAGACACATTGCAGCCTCAGAAAACCATGGGACAATAAGGCTGTTCACTGTTATGCTTATGTGTACGTCCATTCCCGTGTCCGGAAGAAAAGTGGATAAACCGAGCCATCTACGAAGGGAACTGCATGAATCATGACAATTTTTCTTAAAAAATTCCATAGTACGCCTCATTTATTAAACCCCAAGCAAGATATTCTGTTTTATGGTCAGTGACCGAAAGTCACTATTTTGCGTGATGGTTTTGAATGGGGTTTAGCTTTGGGATAAGCTTTCAGATTTGCGTGAGGTTTCTGTAATTAAGGGCGATTAAAGAATGTGCATGTACAAAATCAGGTCCTATTCTTAGTTTTTTGAAGTCTCACTCAACATGTGGAACCTGCAGGTGGCACATGCTGGCGGTTGTTATAGAAGTTTAAAATTCTGGACAGAACAGCTGCCAAATTGGATCTGTAATCGAGATAGTGGAGGGCAGTATACCAAAAACGAAACCGAACTAGTTTGGTAACAGGACGGTGAAAGCATAAATCTTGTGTAAGAAAAAATATTAATAAAAGTTAAGCAATGAATCTTGTTCAACTGCGCATACAAAAAATTGGCACCAGCCAACTCCATGGAAGAACTAGCGTGATTGAGAATGTTCCACTCAGTTGCAGAATGCGTATCACACCTATTCCCGTCGATCTGAGGTTTGCTTTGCGCTTTATAGTATGATCCATACAAGGAAAAATCACAGGCATTTTTACGATGTGTAGTGACGTGTACGCCCTGCTTTTTGTTATCCTAAACAGTACGTTTGACACATGTGCCCAAAAAATTTTGATTGATAATATTAAAGCCTTAAGACACTATGTAACTAAATAACATATTGCGAAGTATGTATCTGTGAGTTACAGCGCTAGTAAATCAGCCACGGCCGCGCCGATCAAGTAATGGCATGCCGATAACTTCCAGGTGGGTACACTGCGGATTAACACCACCAGATTGAGTCCATTTCCAACGGTGCACAAGGCCAACAGGCAAAAGAACACCGCGCGACAGGCGAGGTACGATTCGCGAACTTGGTCCTCAGTGTACAACCATTCCGGCAGATACATGGAGAAGGCAGCTTGAGTTGAATTATCAGCTGCATGATTTTCGTTGAGCACACTAGCGTGACTGGTTATAATGAAATTAACGGCCGGAAATGGCAGAGCAGATGCGTTGGCAGAATTGTCCATGACGAGCCTGACAGCGTGTCCTAAGTTTAGTCAGCGTTTTAGCCAGATTGATATTGCTAAACTTTGGGTTGATTATTAAAGCCATTTATACATGTAAGCTGTACAACATAAAGAAATGAAATCCCAGGAATGATCTGCTCATTTACCTTTGACTCTGCTGAAAAGTTGGCACGATGGCTTAAATAAGTCGATGTCTTTTAAAAGTCGATGCTGCTACAATATCAGTTCTCCCGTCATTTTGTCAGTATTGGGGAAGAACGTTCGGAAGATGTAGACTTCCTGAACAGAGAATCGGGGAAAAGGCAATGTCAGTATGCGGAAGCAAGGGCAGCCTATCGAATACAACTTTCTGCTGGTAGAATTTTTTAGTGGTCAAAAAGCCGGCGGAATTGTGGACGAAACGGAAGCGTGAGTTCGACCACATCAGGTTTTTATTCGTTTAATTCTTCTTTCTTCGAAATCATTTGTAAACGTTTACCTAAAATGGTTGGTTAAGCACTAAGGACGCGTGCGCTGGTGGGACGGACAGCTAGTGTGGCTTTTGCTAAGCAGAATTGATTCGTATTTATATTTGTATAATGCTTAGCATTATTCGTAACCCACTGAATTAGTATAATGCTGAGCATTATACAAATTCGTGAGTTAAGAATATTGCTAAGCATTATACAAATGCAAGGGGTTAAGAATAATGCTAAGCATTATACCAATTAGCGATTTTGGAATAATGCTAAAAGGCATATAGAATTGCAATTTCCAAAATTTTTAATGTACTTAAATTTAGTCGGAAAAACTGAAAAACGGAGCCTCAGTATGTAGTACATACTGCGCCGCGCCTGTGAAGTCGTATAGATATAATGTGCAACCGAAATAAGCTACAATGCGGTTTATTTCGGTCGCACATTATGTTCATACTAAGTGCTAATGTGCAAACTTCAAACAGCAATGTGCAAATTCTAATAAGCACATTTAAATAAATTCAAGCACATTAAAAATTTTATACTTTTAATTTTGTATCGTTTTTAGCATTATTCCGAAAACGCTATTTAGTATAAAGCTTAGCAATATTCAAATCCTAGTAATTTGTATAATGCTTAGCAAAGATACAAATTATCCGATCTTGAATAATGCTAAGCACATACAAATTGGCTGAAATGGTATAATGCTTAGCATTATTCCAAATTCGTAGCATTATTCGAATACAAAACCACACTACGGACAGCACATGCTGACATGCAGCCTGCCGTGCAGAGTCTTGGGTGGCTTAGTCAAACGTCGAGCAAGGAAAAATTGAGTGCCACCGATCACTTCGGCCGTTGAAATGACTACCTGAGGATCGACAAGCTGCTGAACGACAATTTGCTGGACAGCAGCATTTTGCTGACGACAGTCTGCTGACCGAACAAATTAAATTATAACAAAAAATAAGCATAACATAAGAAAACAACGGAAGATAAGAATAACGCAAGAAAACACAAGAAAACATAAGAATAATTTTCAAGAATGCAAGACACATAAGAAATACGAATACGTGTACAAGAAAATATCAGAATACATTAAAAAACATTAAAAACCTAAAAAAGCCTAAAGCACAAAAAAAAACATAAAAGATCAGAAGAAAACGTGATATAATATTGTAAGAAAACTTAAGAAAACAAAGACAACCTCCAGTTTAAAGCGCACATGAAAACAAAAGAAAGTGTAAGAAACCAACGTAAGCTAAGAAAACGTAAACAAATACCAAAGAAACTGAGAAACCGAGAAAACAGATCGATGAGTAAGCTAAAGGTGAACAAAACAGTTTCTGGAAAATGTCAGGCAGCAAAATTGTCAAAAAGGTGATTTGTCGGTCAGTTACCGTCAGTCAGCAAGTTGAATGAATCAGCAAAATGTCGGTCAGGAATTGTCGGGCAGCAAAACGGAGGTTAGAGAATTGACATGCACCTTTTTGGAGTACGAACAAGGAAAGTCTGATAAGCCTAAGATTTAAGAAAAACCAAGAAACTAAAAAAACCGACGAAACTAAGAAAATCTAAGAAACCATGGAAAGCCAACGAATTCAAAGAAACTACGAAAAGATAAGAAAACCTAAAAAAACCGCAGCAGGCGAAATGTCCGGTAAGCGAGCTGTGGGCGAAATTGGAGGACAACGATTTAACGATTTTCTCTCTTCATATCGCTACGAGTATACCTTCCAGTTTCCACAATCCGACTATCCTAGCTGCTATTATAGCTGCTATTAATTTATTACCACTATTCTAACATACAAATTAAAAAGGCGGACCTAGTGCAAATTTCCCGTTAACTGCTATTTTCGTTAACTGCTATTTTCTTACTTCTGGTTCTCCCTGTACAAGCTGGGACAATCAAATCGCAAATTGAATAAATCGGGAACGGATTAATTAAATTAAGGAGACACAGAGTTCTTACAACTCCAGGTGTTGTCGACCAATCTGTTCTCGAAGGAAAAAAACATGAAACCGTAAGACTTCCTATGCCATATCTTTACTCTTTTCCATTGCTACCAATCAGTTAATAACAGGTTTATATTTTATCTTCTTACAATTGTTGATTCAAAGGTGACCGTCAGTTGGGCCGATCTCCGGCATTGGCCGACTTGATAAGAGCAGCCATCGAAAGTCGTTTCATCACACCGCAAGGAAAATGTTTACTTTGGTATTTAAATGGGCATTATAGAACCGCATAACAATGCTTTATTGTGTGAACACTAAGCCAAGCGACAAAGTAAACACTGTGAAGAAAAGGCCACCCGCTATCACCACAACCGCGATTGTGCCGATCATTAACAGTTCTATACGAGTGACATTTTTATCGTTCATCACGGCGTGCTATGTAAACACCGCGTAATAGCTTCGTTTTTAACGCAGTTTAGATAAATTTTCAAAACATCAACCAATTTTTTAAGATTTAAAATGTCGCTACTGCTGTGTCTCCGAAGAGAAACAGTAATTCCCATTTAAAATGTCGTTGTCTGTGTGTTTCTGCGGGAAAACTGCAGCTTATGTATACCGTTTAACCTTTTCGGCGCTTCACCTTAAAAATTGCTGCTGTGTGTGCTTTTTTAATACATAACGGAAGCTGCGATTAAAAATATAAAAGTCGCCGAACTCTTCTGTAAAAAAATACGGCGACTAACGAATTAAACAAATAATAATGCGTTGCGGTTTTGCCGCCAAATAGTGATGGAAAACTTAAGTTAAGTTGAACTTTTGTAAAGGAAAACTTGGTAAGAAGCGTTATCCGCTAAAATTAGCTTGGTTAAAACTTTTGGTCAGCTACAGTTTCTTCGCTAATCGTTTTAGCGACTAAATGCTTTTGCTTTAATTTAACGTTTTTTCATTAATTTTTGCATATTGTTTTATCTTATTTAACTGGGTAAAGACAATTTTTTTTCAGCACCCGCGCTTATCAATTAAAATCTTTCCTAAAATATAAACGCAAGCCGGGACTATGTCTAAAATCAAGCCAACAGATTCAGGTGTCAACATAAAATTATTGTAAAACTATATAAAAAAATAGAAAAAACAAAATGTGCAAATGCACGAAATTACAAACCACAGCGTCGCTGCATATTAAATAGTGGTGTGCTACTAAATAAAACTAAATAAATGCTATTTAATTATTTAATTAGTAAAAGCTTCCCTAAAATTAAATGTGTAGTAAACAGTAAAGTTTTACAGGCAAAATTAGTAAAAGTAAGTAAATATTCAGCTACAATCGTAAATAGTAAGTAAATAGTAAGATTTGGCTTTTGCTAAATAAAAGTTATTCACTAATTTATTTACTAATCGAATTTTGCGAATAACCAGATGAAAGACTCATTGCTGTACTGCTGTACTGGGGTAGGTTCATCATCAACGGCTTTGCATACTAAAGTTAGTGGTATTGTGTATTGTGTGTATTGTATTGTGTACTAAAGTGGTATTGCTGTCACGTAAACGCAATGTACGTATGTACACTTCACAGGACACTGACTACAGATTCGCAGAAATACAGTATATTTATATTTCGCATAATACAGTATAAATACAGATTCGCACAAATACAGTGTATTTTCATGAAATGCACAAGCGCCCCAAATATGATAATAACATTGAGTTAGAAATTAAATTAAATTTATTTAGTATAATTAGTAAGTAATAAAATTGGTTGGGAAAAATGGGAATAGTTGTTAGGGAAAAATGGGAAAAATGGGAATAGTTATGTTGACGTGTAGTCACGTATGTATACAGTTGCGTTCACCGGTAAACAAGTGTTTATGCAATTGTTGTGAACTATCTTCACGTAGTTAATCGTGTCTAAATACGTCTGTTTTCTCTGCTGATTTGAGTGATTTCTCAGCGTTCTGCTGAAGTTGTGTTTGAGCGATTCAGTATCCATCATGAGCGTGTAGTTGTACAGTAAAGATCATTAATGGGATTCGGCAGTATTCTCCGTTGCGTATAATGTAGGAGAAACGTTCATTTATCATAGTAAGTAATAGTAAGTATTTGAAAAATTTTGGGGTTAATAGTAAGTAATAGTAAGTAAAAGTTTTGGAAGATTAGTAAATAGTAAGTAAGGTAGCAGGAAGCTGTAGTAGCACATCACTAAATTATTAAAGCGCGACAGTCAACAGTTTGGGCGTAACTTCGGTGGTGCGTGGTCAGGCACACAGCCGCGCTCGCCCACCGCCTGCACACCGCAGTTGACTGGTACTTTCCCACCTGTATTATGGGCGATAATACCTGCAAGTGGCACACCGCCCGGGTAGGTGCTACCATTACAAGTGACTATTTAATGCTTTAAATTTTTGAGAATGCTCTGGACACCACCACTTACATACCACCAAAGTCTTTCGACACCACCATCTGCCACCGGCCGGCGGCCACCACTTCTCGCACTTCGCACTACGTCCTATCTCGGGTCATTAGCAGTCTACGTTCATTCACCCCTTCGCATACGAGCTACTAAACAGAAATGATTCCCAGTGAAGTTCATTTTTTAGGAAAAGGGTGTACAGCTTCTCTTAAGTCCTACTGCTAGTGGATTAATTTTATAAGTCTATTATTAACGTCATGGACACAGTTATTGTGGATATGGACATTCATTAACAATAGTGTACGTTAAATTTGAAATCTCATGATTTAAGATCATACTCGTAAATAAAGTTACATACATGACAACAGTTGAATACAGAATACAGTACAGTAGCATCAGAACCAATAGCAGTGGGTTCGGTTACTTCGGTATACAGATTTACTAAAAGCGCTGTTACATATCCCTGGTTGGCTGGGACTGAAGTGCGGTCATCTCCACACATTCCGTTCGTCCTTCACGGCTAGCATTCGTGAGCAGTCCGGGAAGGCAGATACCGCACACTGGTCTGGCGACTAGCTCGATGAAACTGCGTCGGTACTGGCGTTCGGTTAGCAAGTAAACATAAGCGTTCAGCGAGTAACCCATGTATGTTGTTACAACGATAACGGGCTGCATGAGTCTCCACACGCTGCTATCTTCGATGTATGTTAATTCTAGGGAAAACGGTAGCGCATGTGCTACCAGGTCGAAAATCTTGGGGGCTCGTGTGAGAAGATAGAGCAGTGCACTGCTCACCAAGATGATGTTGATCCCATGCTGTGACAAGGATGTGTTCGTGGAATTGGCCGCAGTGTGTGATCTCTCTACATGGCAACTCTTTCGTAATTCAGGCTGCCGTCGGCATGCAAGGTGGGCTGCCAGAGTTAGGCTGGGAAAAAGAATCAGCAGAAATGTCAGCATGCGCATCGTAATCTACAAATTAACCACAACAGGTAACCGTGCGCTCAAGCGAGAAAAATTTATCGGCATACAGCTTAAAAAATTTGTCTTAAATTCGCAATCGTCGCATTTCGGCCCTGGGCTGCAAATTGTGCGAGCGTCATAAACAAGTAGCAACATTCGGATATATGCGATGGCGCAACTACCATATTTCAACGCATCAGCTTGGCGCGGGCGCCATCCGTAGTAAACCGTGAGGTGTGGCTGAGAAATGCATTGAGAGGGTAATCGAACCCCGGCTACGTGTGATGATCCGTGTAGGCCGGACCACGGCGCAACTCGCAAGATTTTAACCCTGCGCGGGAGCCGCTTCTATTCCTACAAGCGGTTACTCTCGCGTTCGCGTCAAAAGACTTCGTTCAGAGAAATTTGCAGTACAAGAACAGTACACTACTACACAGTGCACACGCAATGTTTTGCCGTGTTAATTATTTATTAGCGCCACTGGGTTAATAACTTCGGGAAAGTATATTAATTTTAAATGGGCTCTGAGGGAGTGGCTTATTGCAAGTCATAATGAACCTCTTCACCAGGGCCTGCTGGAAAAGAAAATTTCCAGAAGTTAAGATGGAGGGCCATTACTGTGGATGTGCAGCAAATTGGTAATTACTCTGCACGTTAAAAACTTCGCGTAAATAACAGCAACGTTTTACGAGTATATTATGCGCACGTACTTATACTTTAAGTAACCGTCCTCTCGGCATAAATTTGCAAATACGCTAACATACCATTCCGACTTGGTTTACGTGGTGCCAAGGCCTGAACCACGGCGGATTCACATGATTTTCAGTGTGGATGTACAAATAAAGGTCATACTGAGCAATAAAAATAAAGATGTGGCAAGCAAGTGATAGAACAACAAGGACGGCAATAACAAGACGCGCCGTGAAAACCGGTCGCTGAAAACCAAATCGTCGAGGGCTCAGAAGACGCAGCAGCCGTTCCCAAGAAAACACCACCAGAATCCTAAAAGAAAGCAATGGATGCAGCCGTATTGCTGGATTACCAAAAACCTTACCAGTCGGATAAACTCATCGAAGCTTCACAAAACCATGGAACAATGAGGTGGTATCCGGGGTGCCCGAGCGGCACAGTCCATGTTTCATCCGATAGAAAGTTCCCTAAACCGAGCCATCTGAAATAAAAGCTGTTCAAAACATATAATCATGGACAATTTAACAAATGGCATCTTCTTTGTGTTTTTGGCATTTTGAACGTGACTATCCGTTAACGAAACGCCATTACAGCACCATCATAAAACGGTGGCCGCCATGTAGTAGTGACTATAATGCATGTGACATACAGTCCAAAATTTCACGTTTTTAACGTCCGTATGCCGAATGCAGATGCTTTACATGAGTAAACAGATTTCGAACATAAGCGTATAGGAACGTTTTCACTGCTCTTACAATGCTGCCAAATCCGCAACAGCTGTACCGATCATGTAATGACACGCCGATGTCTTCCAAGATAGCGCACTGCGTATAAGAACCACCAGATTCGATCCATTGCCCACAGTACATAGAATCAAAAGGAGAAAGTACACAACGCGACAAGCTAGGTACGCCTCGTTTATTTGCTCATCAGTGTAGCGCTCGCGTGACGGAAAGATTGTCGGTGGAGTTGTCTCCTGAGTGACAAAAATATTGTCGGTGGAGTTGTCTTTTGAGTGACTTGCGTTGAACACGCTGGCGTGCTGACTGTTGGCTACATCAAAG